GGCGCCGAGCCGGGGATTGCCGCCCAGCGAGGCCAACCTCTCCAAACCGCGGGGGAAACCCACGCAGCCGTAAAGAGCAGCATTGCAAAGTGCCCCAAACCCCGCCGGGGGAAACCATGCCCGCTTCATCCTTCCTTACGCGCCCGGGGCCGCGGGACGTCAGACAGGAGCAGGTGAGCTTCGCCCGCGGCGCTTAACGCCTCCTAAGGTACCATTGCTTTTTTGGGACGGACCTGATGTCTTGCCCAGTTTTGCATCCGACCGGGCTGCCCTCATGTATTTATGCGCCTGTTGGGTGGAGTGCAACAACACCCTATGTCTCCTCTGATTAACCGGCTTTTCCCCCCCTCGCCGTCGCTCGCTCCGGGCGGGCAGAAGGGGCGGCAAAGCCGCGCGGCTCTTGGCAGCCCCGTTTTCTTCCGCTGAAAAGGTTGCTGGCGGCGTTTCCGCCGCGAGCAGGGCCGACCGGTGCTCGCGGCGCGGGCTGGGGAGGCAGGGCCCCGCGCCGCGGGTGCTCGGGCGCCGCGCACCTCTCCGGCTCGGCGCGCCTTTGCCCTTGCTCTGCGGTTTCTCGCTAAGTGCAAACAGATTCCTTCGCTGTAGCGAACCGCGCAGGAACGCCGGGAGATGCCTCTTCCAACAAAAGAGCAACTAGACTCGTAACCGAGGTGAGTCACACGTTTAGCCGAGCGTGCAGAAAGGGAGGATTTGTCCCGGGGAGATCCTGGCCGCGCGGAAATCAGAGCTGAGCCGGGATTTTAGCCAGACTTAAAAGGATCAGAGCAATTCGTAACATGTAACGCTCGCCCTTAGCCTCGTCTTAGCCCCGCTGTCTTGCTCAGTTAATAAAAAAAAAAAACCCTTATAACCGAGCAAAACACCGGGGCAGCTCCTCAGCTAACGGTATCTGACAGCTTTATTGGAGCTGCAGTAGTTTACAGAGGCTGAAGATCTGATCGAATAATCTTTATTAGTTGGATGTGCTGGAGCTTTGCCACGGCGGGAGCTAGCAGGCAGCTCGCATCTCCCGGGCAGCCTTTTCCAGGGTGGCAAAGGTGGGACCCGCAGCCGGGAGACCTTTTCCGAATAACCTCCTGGCGGGTTTTCACCCGCGCCGGCCTGGCTGGGTTGTCCCGCCGTGCCTCTCGCCCCGCTTCTGCCCGTCC